GCATTAAATAGAGCCATGTGTTTTTCAGAAAAGTAATATTTATTCACACTGTGTGGCTTTCTTGATTTTTTTTTTTTTTTATTTTACTCTCCAGTGAAACTACAAACAAGATGTCAATAGCTTATGTGGCATTCACAGCAGTATAGCTTAGAATATTGGCTGCAGTAGAAGAAATGCCAGATTGTATTTGCCCCAGTAAAGGTAGGCTTCATCTAGGGCTTTCTGAGGGACAGGCTTAGCATTTGGACATAGATAGTTGTGCTGGGTTTTATTTTTATTGACCTCATAGACTTTAAACAATGGCTCTTGCAATATTTGGGTACAAGAAGAAGCATCAGTGTGCGTAATGTTTCAGCCTTTGAAGTGTTGTATAAGATTTTATCCATTTGGGAATATTCTTAGTAACTCAGATATTGGGCATGCATTTCATATCCAAACCTTTTTGAGTGTTTTTAAAGTCCATCCATTTTGTGAATCTGAAAACTTACCCCGAAGTGGTGATAATGATAGCCCAGACCTCAGAATAAGTTGGAAATTACTTTTGTGGCAGACTGACAGTATCCAAGCATGTAGATACACATCGTCTTGCTGCATTCTGTGTTTTTCTTTGTTGTGTACTAACAAAAGAAAACGAAATCAAGAAGACCAATATGTATTTTGGAAAACTAAAAAGCATGATTTTCACTGCCAAATTAGCTTCCTGACTAAATTAAAGATCTGAAGAACAGTGGGTATGTCAAACATTCATCTAATCTAAGATCTATTCTGAATCTTTACTTTTCTCAGCATTTCCTATATGAAATGTTTAAATTAAGTGGCAAGATGGGATCAGAATATGATCCTGGGATGTAGCTGGGCTGCCAGGTCCCTTAAAGGAGAATGCGTGAGATAATAGGACACCAAGTCACTGCTGTGCCATTTGCCCAGGCAGAGTGAATGCATGGAAGGAAGCACAGAAGGGATGTGGAGAGCTCAGTGGGACCAGGCTTCCATCAACATGAGGTAGGAGCCAGCTGTTGAGAAACTGCCAGTAGAGAGGCCATGTCTCTCAAGTAGGGGGCCCATCTCTTAGAACTTCAGCTTTCTAATGAGATGAGAATATTCTAAATAATTTGAAGATTATTGTGGCACACATAGAGATGGGCTGTACACATTCCCTTTCAAGAAAGAATGTGCTGCCCAGCTACAGGGGTGGCGTTAGCTGATGGCTTCCAGCTCTTCACACCTTCAACTTTCCATTCTTGGTCATACTCTTTGCATCATGGCCCCAGGCCAGTAACTGCCAGAGGCAGTAGTACAAGGGCCTTGCCATTTCTGGTCACACTGGGCTCCTCTCATCTTTGCTCTAGAGCTTCCACTAGGTTGGCAGAGATTTGTCAGCTCTGCCTCATGGTCTGAGGCTCCCCTGTCCAATCTTGCTGCCATCTTTTCTCTTTCACAGGTGTTAGTCCTCAGTAGACCATTTGTACTCCTAACTCCTCCATTGCAGCATGTTTTCCAGAAAACTCACCTTGCCATTATCATTAATTTTTTTTTTAATCAAAGATACCAAATTGGGGTCTATAGTAAATTTTTCTTTTAAGAGAAAGTTTGAGTTAAAGAACCAGAGGATCTAACTTAGATGCAGGTGCAGGCTTGTCTTCATCTCTTGCGTCTGGTGATCCCCAGGCCATCTCCAGATTATGTCTATTTGTGGCCCTAGAGTTGCTCATTTGGCCTGGCAGCCTAACTCCTGGGACCCTCGTTCTTATTCTCAGTTCCAGAGTCTTTGCATTTCTTGTTCTAACCTCTTTGCTTGTGATTTTTTCCTGTAGGTTGTAACCCAGTTCTGTGGGTTCTTGATCCTATGTGCTTATGGGGATATTTGAGTTTAGGTTCTGTTGGTAAGACAGTGCTCATGTGGGTTCTTATTAAGATATTCTGTAGAGAGCTGTTTTACTTATTCTGATTCCCTTTTAATATCATGTAACTTGACATAACAACCCAGTTTTTATATTTAGCTACTTTTTTGTGTTATTCATCTAAAATTAATGTTAGAGCATATTGCAAGGGGAAGACTTATTTTGATTTTTTCCCCCTGAAACAGCCAGTTTACTTCTGTACAATTTATAAATGGATCTGTTATGCCTGGCATTTGGTGTCTGGCTTACAAAGGTTGTATGTTCTCAAGGCAAGAGATTAACACTGAGCTCACTTGATTTAATATTGAAATCATTTTGTTATGTGACATTAATTTTCCCACATTTTCTAATATGTTTAACTTTTTAGAGCTAGTTGTGCATATAAATACTCTTAAATATTTCTAATCTTTATAATAAATAAGCATACAAATAGCTGGCATATCAAAGATTTCTCCTTGGATTCGAGCACATTAGCCTCTGGCTTCTGCTTTACCTTCATTTTACCTTCTTAGCAGAGCTCCCTCAGCTCACGGATACCTCCAGAGCTTCATCGTGTCTTATTTTAAACTCTCTCAAAAGAGAGCTGTCATATGCACACAGCTTCAGCCGCTGCTCGTATCTGTTACCATCCAAATCCTGCCTCTGTACTCCAGACCCATTTACACATTTGCCTAGAAGAACATCTCCAGTAAGGTCATCCATTGACACCTCAAAATGGCAGGATGTCCAGAATCAAACTTGACAGCTTATTTGCCTCGGGTCTAAGATTGGATCTGGATTTGATCTCTTGGATAAAAGTGTTGCCATCTACTAAGCCACTGGGAGCCATGGAGACCTCCATTTACTACAGCCCCTCTACCCACTTATCCTGACAATTTTGTCTCCTGCATATCAGTATTATATGTTCTCTTTACCTGGTCGACCTTGGTCCAGGCTTTCTTATTTCTCCTCTGAAATGCTACCATTGCCTCTCTTCAGTGATTGTGTCTGCCTCCCCTCTCAGCTGCCTCCAGTTCGCCTCCAGCTGGAACCCATTTAGGGACCACACTGCTCCCATGAGGACATTAAGCCCCCAGGCTTGCCTGCCTCTCCAGGCCCATCTCCTCCCCTTCTCCCTGCCTACCAGCCAAACTGACCCTCCTGCTGCTGTGGTTCCTGTAAGGCACCAACCTGTCTTTGCCTTCTAGCATTCTCCCATGGTCTTTCTTCTGTCCCTATCCACTAGGCTAATTTAATTCATCTTCTAAGTCTCAGCTCAAGTGTCCTCATTTCCAGGAAGCATTCCATGAAGCCCCTGCTGAGGTGAAGCTCTTTCCCCCTTACTTCTGTAATGTTTCCTGCAAACGTCTGTCAGGGTTTTTTTTTTTTTTTTTTTGCTAAATGATACTCTTTTCTTTATCATCTCTCTTGCCCACTATTCATGAAATCTTGGAAGGATTACATATTTTATTTATATTTATTTTATTTTTCAAGAATGAAGTCTTGTCTGGTGTGTAGGGATTTTTCACTCAGTGGGATTTGGAATGTGTGTGGGTGTGTTTGAGTGTTTGTCAGAATTATCATGTAGTAACATTAGATATGAGATACCTTTCAGAATTATGGGCTTGAAAGATAAGGTGACTTGAATAGACTTTCTCAAAAGAATACGTACATATATTTGGCCAACAAGTTTATGAAAAAATGTTTGACATCACTAATCATCAGGAAAATGCAAATTAAGATCACAGTGATATATCATCTCACACCTGTTAGAATTACTGTTATCAAAAAGATGACGGGTAACAAGTGTTGGCGAGGATGTAGAGACAAGAAAACGCTGGTATACTGTTGGTGGGAGTGTAAATTAGTGCGGCCATTGTGGAGAATAGTATGGAAGTTCCTCAAAAAAACTAGAAATAAAATTGCCATATGCCCCAGCAATCCCATTTCTGGCTTTATGTCCCAAGGAATTGAAATCAGTATGCAGAAGAGATATCTGCACTTCCATGTTTATTGCAGCATTATTCACAGTAGTTGAGATATGGAAACAACCTAAGTGTCCATCAGTGAATGAATGGATATAGAAAATGTGGTATGAATACACAGTGAAATACTATTCAGCCTTATAAAAGGAAATGCTGTGATTTGTGACAACATGGTTGAACCTGGAGGACATTGTTGCCAAGTCAAATAAGCCAGGCACAGAAAGATACTGCATAGGGCTGGGCATGGTGGCTCATGCCTGTAATCCAGGCACTTTGGGAGGCTGAGGTGGGTGAATCACCCGAGGTCAGGAGTTTGAGACCAGCCTGGCCAACATGGTGAAACACCTGTCTCTACTAAAAATGCAAACATTAGCTGGGCGTAGTGGCAGGCACCTGTAATCCCAGCTACTTTGGAGACTCAGGCAGGAGAATCACTTGAACCATGGAGACGGAGGTTGCAGTGAGCTGAAATCACACCAGTGTGCTCCAGCCTGGGCGACAGAGTGAGACTTTGTCTCAAAGGAAAAAAAGAGAGTGCGTGATCTCATGTATATGGAATCTACAAAAGTCAAATTTGTAAAAGTTTGGGGATATTCTTAACTATAATTCTAAAACTTATTAGTTTTTTTGGCCATTAATTTCATGAAATTCTTGCCACTGATTTCATTTTCTTGTCTCACTGAGTTGTTTACAGTCTCGTTCTCTTTGTTTTCACTTTTCTTCCCAATCCTGTTCTTTGTCCAGAGACTAATAGTGATTATAATGAAAATGGGAAGGCGATGGTGAAAAAGAAGAAACCTGGGGAATCTGTCATTTGGGAAATTATTATTTTAATATTTAAGAAATAGTTATTTAATTAAGATAAAAATAGCATTTTAGGTTTTTTTCTTGTTTTCTTTTGGAGGGAATTAAACTTGGGACAGTAATCTCTTTAAAACATTCAGGTAAGCAAGCTTGCCTGGGGCAAGTGAAAGAAACGATCCCATAGGAATACAGCATAAAGTGCAGTATGTATGTTATTATAAATAGTTTCCTTTTCCTCTTCTAGAACTTATCTATAGTGAGTAATATGGGCCTGTCATGAAAATGTGTAATTTCATTTGTTGTTTATTTTCTTTATATCTTTTTTTAATAGAAAATACTGCAGTTTCTACCTGAACGAATTTTCTTTCGATGGCATTACCAGAGTATAGGTAAGAACAATTAAAAATTTTTTAGTAATATGAATTTCTTCCAGTTGAATTTTCAGTAATTTTTATATAATTGATATCATCAAGGTAGCTTATAGAAAGGAATATTAATAAGGGCATGGTATTATGGTAATGAAAACCAAGACAAGTTCAACCCTGACTCTGGAGATAAATATGTCTATCTCTTCCTCTGTGTGCTCCTTAAGAGTGTAGTTCATAGGCCAGCAGCATAAGCCTCGCCCAGAAGCTTGTTAGAGATGCAGAATCTCAGGCCCCAGCCAGACCTCCTGAATCACGGTAGTGTGTATTTCTTTTTTTTTTTTTTTTTTGAGATGGAGTCTTGTTCTGTTGCCCGGGCTGGAGTGCAGTGGCGCGATCTCAGCTTATGGCAACCTCTGCCACCTGGGTTCAAGTGATTCTCCTGCCTCAGCCTCCCGAGTAGCTGGGATTACAAGCATGCACCACCATGTCTGGCTTTTTTTTTTTTTTTTTTTTTTTTTTTTATTTTTAGTAGAGATGGGTTTCACCATGTTGGCCAGGCTGGTCTTGAACTCCTGGCCTTAAGCGATCCACCCGCCTCCGCTTCCCAAAGTGCTGGGATTACAGGTATAAGCCACCATGCCCAGCCAAGAGAATTCTTGTTCTTTAAGCCTGTATCATTGACTGAAAATTATTCTCTTTGAATGCTTTACGATGTGGCATTGAGAGGAAACTTGAAATAAAGCAAGTTACTACAGCTGCCTTTTCTGTCCAGTTTTTAACATCTAACGTCTCATCTCACTTGAATATACACAGCACAGCTGGAGGAATTCTGTGAAATCAATTGTGAATTCTGCCTTCTGTTTTAAGCAGTGTCTCCTTCAATCTCCTGCCATACAAGAGTCTAGCATTTCCTACAAGTTTTCTTACTTACCAGATGTTTGTATTTGTGGAGAGTGTGACCTTATGATGGAATCTAACTCTGTTTGATCATTCATTCATTCAAATATTTATTGAGGGAGAGACATTTGTGTGCAAAGTTCTGGAACAGAAACTAAGAATATATCACCATTCTTGTATTGTATAGGCCTTTTGCCCAGTCAGGGAATATATGAGAAAAAATAATTACAGCAAAATTGCCTCTATGAAAGAAGTATGATGATAGCAAAAAAGAAAAGTTGAATAATTCTGTTCAGAGGAATTGAGGAAGGCTTCAAGAGAGGTAACTTTGATCTGAGCCTTGAAAGATGAACAGGTGCAGCGTGGAAAGGGTTTTCTGAGTGGGAGATCAATATGTACAAAGTTGTGGAACCTGAAAGAATGCAGCATGGCTAGTGCATATTCCAAAATTCCGAATCCTAAATTTCATTTAGGATTATTTATGTGAAAATGGAATTGACTCTTATAGAAACTAAATTATTTGAAGTTATATGTTCTTAATTTAAATAAAGTATATATGTCAATTGAACCAAATGTATAAATCATTAAGATAGTGCCTTTATCTTTAACTATTTCAAATACACAAATAAAGTTTTCCTTTAGATTTTAGAGAGTTGGCCATCGCATTTCTGCTTAATTGAGACTTTCAGCTTGTGTTTTTAAATTAAAGTGAAAATAAAAATTTAAATGTAAGATGTAATCTAAAGAGACATCATGGGGATTTGTGGTGCTCCGTGGTACCGTAGGAATGGCTGACAATGAGAAATAACTGCATGCAGTATTTTTTATCTGTGCTACATATAATCCTTCTTCAATTTTGTTTATATCATTTGTATGAAAACTATGCTCATTTTCTTTAGATAGCAGTTTAGAATGTCTGAAGATTAGTAGGCTCTTCTCAGCATGAATAAATTTATTGGGACTATGTGTGAAAATTAATTTGCATTTGTGTTGTGAAACTTTATGTGTCTAGTAGGCAGTGTGTAGTATTATTTTAATTCTGCCTAATACCACATAAACTGGTTAAAATTGCTGGTACAAGTAGCTTTTTACCCAGTTTGGCAGCATCTTAGCAAGAACAATGACTGGAGACCTCAGACTCCTCAGTTGAGACTGCCAAATACTGAGTTTCCTGAGCCATCTAATAGCAGTATGTGTTGTTTATCTGGTGTGCAGAACAAGTTGTTGCTATAAAGTGGTCAGAATGAATAGTATTTCAGAATGCTGAAATATGAGCATTTGCATGTAAAATTATGCATGTTTATTACTGATGCTTATATACTTAGAGTCAAACAGGCTCTTTTCAGACAAATAATTTTTGCGTGATAATCATATTGGGTGGAAATGGGTGTTGACACAGGTCCACATCTCCTCTACAGTGATCTTTACTAGATGTGCTTTGGAATCAGGCATTTTCAGATTTTAGAATGGCAATGTGGTGCATTGATGTACAATGAAGCAAATAAGTTAGAACATCAAGACAATCTTAACATAACACTTCCAGTGGTCTGGGCAGCACCTTCTCCCCACCACCCCAACTATGTAAGTTACTATTTCTATAGCTTAAGATAAGAGTATGTACCATTAATGGAATATCTACATATAAGATAGCCTTATTTGAGTCATTGCCAGCATATGAATTCAGATTAGGTTCTGTCCACTAATGACTTACACAGAAGAACTTCAGTTTTCCTATAATCTTTTGGATTTTGAAATGGTCCATAAGAGATTATGGATTTGTAATTATATACATATATACCTCACTGTACCTATTGAATTATTTCCAGTTTATTTGGATTTTTAAAACTGTTACCATTAGTCAGTCCAGGTCTTGACTGAGTTGTTGTAGAAACTTAGAAACTATAGGAAAATACCAGGTATCAAAGGAAAGGAATGTGCTTTAAATATGTCCTCAGCATTGGCATCCTGGACTTTTACAAAACCTCTGAGTCTTGGGCAAGGAGGGGCCTTCTCACCAGCCAGTGCCTGACATTGTAGGTAGCAATATTCCTTACCTACTAGGAAGAACACTCCTATACTAATGTCTTACTAGTTAAATGTTGTTGCAGCTGGTGGGGGACAAGATATTCTGAAATGTTGGGTTAAAACCTTGAAGTCATGGTTATACACAACTGATGCAGTATGCTTCTTGTCCCACACTGCATATGACAGTGTCACTAAGCAGAGAAACCTAAAATAAGGGCAACTGCTATATTCTATGAGTCTCAAAAGCCGAGAAGGAAGAAAATAATTTGAAACATCAACCACCACAGTGCTTGAAGTCTGTTTCTTATCATGTCGTCTTATTTTTGTCTGTAGAAAACAGAGACATTCTATTTCTCTTAAAACTGCTTTTAGAGGGAAGGGATACTCTGTGGTTTCTCTTTGTTTTGTTTTTTAATGGCTGGCTCCTTGCTTTAAATCATTGAATGAGGAAACATTTGAACTCGTAAGTTTTGCAATGTGAAATGAACACGGGTTCATTATTCCAAGCATCTGGAGGTATTTCTTCAAGTGATGTTTGGAGAGCAAGATGACCAGGGAATACAACTCAACTATTTGTAAAGTTCCATTACTGACTACAAAAGAAAAAAATTGTTTATCCAATTTTTTCTGAAGTCATTTTTTAGGCCAGTAAATCATGGTGGATAAAGGTGACTGCTTGACATCTCATCTCTGGGCAATAATTAGAACTGATGCAGAGTGAGGCAATGGCAAAGAATGGCACTGGCAGCAAACCAGGGATATTTGGTACAAGGGCAGGCTGTGCGTTGTCAACAGAGGACTTAAGTTATATGTGTGTTCACTTTAAGAAGGCTTACTGCTCTGGAGCCTCTAGAAAGCAAGTTTCCTATCTCATTCAGTGTGTAGTGCTATGCCTGAACTCAATAATTATTTGTCAGGTAGGTAAAAGGATGTATTTTGTATTAGAGATGTTTTATATAAAAATGTTAAAAATGAATTTTTATATAAAAAATGTTAAAAAGGTTTAAAGGGGTGGGGCTCAATTACTGGAAATTTCACATGTGTGCAATACCTCATATGTTTTTTTATGAGTCATTATTAAATCTAGTTTGTTCACCTAGGTTTTTTATATACATAGTGTAAAAACCAAAGGCCTAACTAAGCTGAAAATTTGTTTTTTACTTTTTAAGTGTATTCCAGGTTTTGTGCCTGGGACTAACCAGTGGCCCCACATTGCCTGGGATGTGAACATAGGCTCTGACCAGTCTAATTTCTCAAGGTCCCTACTGCCCACTGGGTCCTAACCTTTCCTTGGGAGCCTGAGTCTGGCAGCTTTCCCTGGTGCCCTCATTCAGACCATACCATAGCTCACTCTTCCTGAGAGAGCGGGGTTTCCCTATGCACTTCACACAGGACTCCCTCTGAAGTGCATCACAGCCAGGCTGGGTGAAATCAGGGACCCCACGTGCCTCCATGTTCACCAGGAGATGTCTGGAACTAATGCCCCTGGTAGCATGGGGGCCGACTCACTTGGTGTTTTTCCATGCCCTCTCAGGGTGCTTTTACCATTATTGCTCTGTGCTTCTTCCCCTCCCAGGCACTTCTTTGTGTTTTGCCCTCTGGGGGTCCTCTTCTGGCTTTAAACAATAGCCCTAAAGCCTCAGCCTCTTTCTTTCACCTCCCTGACCACCTGAAACCTGACTTTTGTCTGAAGCTCCTCTGTCTCCCTCAGGAGTCGGGGTGAGATCATGGTCTTTCTTTTCTCCCATGCCAATTCCAGACGTTAGCCACCATCTCCTCTGTGGAAACCTCTGTCCCTTTTACATGCCACCTTCTACCTCCTGGTTGCTGCCATGTCTTTTGACCTCCTGCTCACTTGCCTTCCCCCCCATCCCCCATGGCTTTGTTCTCTCCTAGCCCTTTTCCTTCATGCCAAGTTACCCATCAGCCCCCACCCCTAATCCTATGTGCCTCTGTGGCTTCAGACCCTGATCTCTGTCTGACCACGTCCTCCATTCTCCTGATATTTGACCCAATCACTTCCAGGTCGGCTGATCTTTTTTATATATTTATGGGGGGTGGTTAACAATTTATACACAGTAAATTATTTATATTTAAAA